TCTATCTATCTATCTATCTATCTATCTATCTATCTATCTATCTATCTTCTATCTATCCAGGGGTGGGATTCAAATTTTATAACAACTGGTTGTGTGGGCATGGCTTAGTTGGTGGATGTGGTTTGGTGGTCATGTGACTAGGTGGACGTGGCTTGGTGGTCATGTTATTTGCTGGGCGTGGCCAACTCAATATCACTCACATCGAGGCACGCATCTCCTTGCCTGGCCTCTCATGACTGTGGGGATGCTGCAACAGTCGTAAGTGTGAAAAATGGTCATAAGTCACTTGTTTCAGTGCAATTGTAACTTTGAATGGTCATTCCACACAAGCAAATTACCAGGAAAGGAGGGGAAAAAAAACCTCCAGAGTTCCTGAGACAGGAAGTCTAGTCCTGCCAAGAATGTAATAATGGAGAGGCAGTTTCTGTTAGCAACAACACCAGAATGTTTCCTTCCTGCCTTTTTTACAGGATTAGGCCAGTAATTTCTTCTAACAACCAGTTCTCGAACTGCTTAGAATGTTAACAACCGCTTCTAGCGAATAGGTGCGAACTGGTAGAATCCCACCCCTGTATCTCTGTCTATCTATCTATCTATCTATCTATCTATCTATCTATCTATCTATCTATCTATCTATCTATCATCTATCTATCATCTATCTATCTATCTATCTATCTCCAGAATGAACAGAGATGGATGGACATATCCCCAATTCATGGGTTGGTTTTCCACAGCAAAGATTTACAGAGCTGTTTTAACCTTACAGATTACAGATAAACAGAGTAGGAAGAGACCTTGTAGGTCATCTAGTCCAACCCCACTACCCAAGCAGGAGACCCTACACCATTTCTGACAGATGGTAGTTCCTGCCTTCCCAAACCTGGATGAGGTCTGCGTCTCATTAACCGTTTGTTCTCTTTGTCTCTTAGCTATTACCTGCCCACCCAATGCTTACTACGATTTCTGTGGCACAGCCTGCCCGCTCACTTGTGCCAACCACACAGCTCTCATCAAATGCCCCAATCCATGCATTCCTGGATGCACCTGTCGGGAGGGGCATGTCCTGAATGATGGTGCATGCATTCCCCTGGGACAGTGTGGCTGTCAGCACAACGGCCGTGACTATCAGCTGGGAGAAGAGATGGTCCTGCCAGATGCTTGCAGCAAAAAGTGTTCTTGCAAACAACCTGGCCATCCTCTGGAGTGCCAGGAGCTTACCTGTGGGCCTCAGGAGATATGCAAAACCGTGGATGGCATTTGGGACTGTTATCCTGTGTCGTACAGCACTATGTGGGTATTTGGCTACTTTCATGTTATCATGTTCAGTGGGGCGGCCTTTAGTTATCAAGGAGCATGCACGTACATCCTCACTCAATATTGTGGCCCTCCCAGCAAGCTACCTGCCTTCACCATTCGCATAGTAAACGGGCACAGATACTCCATTGCAGCCTCTTGGACTAGGCAACTTACGCTGGATGTCTACGGGGAACACATCATTGTAAAAGAAGGACAGGAAGGCAAAGTGCAGGTAAGAAGGGCTTTCTGCAAATTCCCAGTAGCAGTAGCAATAGCACTTTGACTTATATACCGCTTCACAGTGCTTTACAGCCCTCTCTAAGTGGTTTACAGAGTCAGCGTATTGTCCCCAATAATCTGGATCTTCATTTTATTGAGCTCGGAAGGATGAAAGGCTGAGTCAACCTTGAGCCACTGAGAATTGAACTGCTGGCAGTCAGCAGTCAGCAGAAGTAGCCTGGAGTACTGCACTCTAACCACTGCACCATCACAGTTCAGTAGCAATGTGTGAAGAATTTTATCATTGGGCATTTCTGGTGTGAAAACCAATGTCCAAGGCATGCAATTCAAGAAAGACTCAGAAGGTGGCAGCAGATGGCAGACTAAGCAGACTGTTGAACAGAGCACTGAGAGGAAAATATGCTATATAGGTAGTCCTGAACTTACAATAGTTCATTTAGTGACCGTTCAAAGTTACAACGGCAGTGACAAAAGTGACTTATGACAGTTTTTCACACCTATGACCATTGTAGCATCCCTATGGATGATCACATGATCAACATTCAGGTGCTTGGCAACTGACTCTTATTTATGACGGTTGGTGTCTCCCAGGGTCATGTGAATCTCTTTTGTGACCTTCTGGCAAACAAAGTCAATCGGGTAGCCAGATACACTTAAGAGCCACGTTAGTAACTTAACAACTGTGACAAGAAAGATTGTAAAATGGGCAAGCCTCTCTCAACCAATGTCTCACTTAGCAACATAAATTTTGGGTGCAATTGTGGCCATACATCGTGGACTACCTCTATAAGTAAATTCTGAGTTTAGCCCCGAAAAATAAGAAATGGTGAGAAAGAAACTCAAGATTGTCCCACCTTGATTCGTTGGTATAATTCCCAGAATGAGGCAATGCCAAACCACGTCCACCCTGTTCTCCTATGAAAACCACACAGATGTTTCTGTGTGGTCATTTTGAGTAGAGCTTGACTCAAGGGAATCTTTACCTTTTTACTTTAAATTAATCATTCTCAGATTAAAAATTGGGGATTGCCCAGTCGTGGGATCCTACCTTAGTTGCTACTGGTTTGGTGGGTGATCACGTGTAATGTGCGCTTCCCTAACAAACCAATCAGCCGAGAGGATGAAGAAATGAAAATCTAGGAGTGAGCCTCCCACCCTTCTATATGCTTTTTGGGGTTTTATCCTCTCAGCTGATCACCAGAGGCTTTTTTCCTCCTCTCAGCTGATTGGAGGCTTTTTAAAAAAACTACCCGTTTGTCCAAACCGGTCCGAATCAGTAGCATACCATCACTGGGACTACCGATCCATTCCTTCTTGAGGATTCCTAGTGTCACCTTTTTGTCTTAGGTCAATGGTTTCTGGATGAATCTGCCTGTCATCCTGGCTTCCGGGAAGCTCCATGCTCATTACAGCGGATCGTCCCTCATCATTCAAACTGAGTTTGGTCTCTCCATCTCCTACGACTGGTCTTACTATGTGTCCATTTCTGTTCCTGAGACTTATTCTGGCTTCCTCTGTGGTCTGGGTGGAGATTTCAGTGAGAACCATCAGCAGGACTTCAGGACTCCCAATGGCTCTGTAGTTCACGATAGAAACATTTTTGGTAACAGCTGGAAGAAAACGGATTCCCCTTCTTTCTGTGCAGTGGTGGAAGTTTCAGCCACCTGCAGTGAAATTCAACTAGCCCTCTTCAGGTCTCAGAATTACTGTGGGATGATCAGTGACAGAGATGGGCCGTTTAAAGAATGTGGCAACCTTGTGAGTTTTCAAAACCACACTGAAAACTGTGTAACGGACCTTTGCATAAATCAGGGGGCTCATAAGACCCTGTGTAAAGCTCTCCAAAGCTATGCTTGGCAATGTCAGGTTCGTGGCATCAGCATTCAGCCTTGGAGGGGAATTACGGAGTGCGGTAAGTGAATATAATTAAGTTAAATATAACTGAATTTACTGAGTATAATTTCAACTGTTCTCATTTTTGTGTAAGGCCCTCTCCATACTTAGGCTGGCAGTTGCTCTTCATCATGTACTGATAATGAGGTATTTTTGGCCAATGACAAAGTCCAGAAGGTGGCTTCATTGTGGCAATCTAAAGTTTGATCCAGACACAGAAGAAGAAAATCTTCCATTTTTAATTGGCACATTTTTCTTTCCTTTTTCAGTGTGTTCTTTCAGACATTGTTAAATGACAATTCCCGTCGCCTTTCATCATAAGCCATGTAAATTAACACTGACGGGATTGGGAATTCAATCTTTGGAAGACCACAGGATCTCTACATAGGCATTAAATCTATCTTATTTTCTCTTGCACAATTTCTTTGGGATTGGATTAAATGGCATGCATGTGTCTTTCAGAGTTGACCTGCCCACCAAATAGTTATTACGAGCTTTGTGGCTCCCCCTGCCCTGTTTCTTGCACCCAACCTGCTGGACCTCCAAGTTGCTTCCAGAGCATGTGTGTAGAGGGATGCCAGTGTGAAGCGGGGTTTGTGCTGAGTGGCACGGACTGTGTTCCGTGGGAGCAGTGTGGCTGCAGCTACAACGGACGGTATTACTTGAAAGGGGAAACATTCTTCCTGGAAGGAGAAAACTGTCAAAGAAAGTATTACTGTGATGGCTCCATCTCTGCCCTTGAAGCTAATGGGTCCTTCTGTGGACCTGAACAATTCTGTGGCACTCGGAAGGGAGTATTTGGCTGCCATGCATTGCCAGATGGCATCTGTCGAGTTTCTAAATTTCTCCACTATACCACCTTTGATGGGCAGCAGTATAACTTCCAAAGTATCTCCAAATATGTCTTGGTGGAACTGTGTCCAACATCCAAGTCTTTACCTTCTTTCAGGGTTGAGGTGAAGCATGAGAAGCTGCTTAGCAGCCCTTTATCTGGACTATCAGAGGTTATTGTATCAGTGAACAATACTCAGGTATACCTGCAGAGAGAACATCAAGGAACACTCAAGGTAAATAAAGTAAGATGAACATCTATTCTAGGTGATTGTTTTGTTCTCTGTCAATTGAACCAGTGGAAATTCTTCAGTTTGGAGATGCTAGGAATTGCAATTCCAGTGTAGTTGAACATCAGGCTTCTGACACAACACATCTGTTGGTTCTCTTCAACAATCTCTTCTTTCTTAGATGCTTTGGAGGACTGACACCGATTAATTAGATTCTGAAGCCCCAGTTAATTTTATGTTGTTGTTTTTGTGTGTGGCGCTACTTGAGTTTTCTATGGGTAGCAATCAATGGTCTTTGTTCTTGTCTTTCACACAGATTGATGGAGGGATAGTAAACCTTCCCGTTCAAATCCAGGCTTTAGGAATCACCATTTATCAACATGGCTTGTATACTGTTTTAAAAACAGAGTTTGGTTTAATAGTAAATTACGACCCGGGTCACAATCTCTTTGTTAAGCTTTCCCCTGAATACCGGGGCCTGACTTGTGGTCTATGTGGGAACTTCAATGAACTCATGGAGGATGACTTTATGATGAGAAATGGCTCGTCTACAGAGGACATACTGGACTTTGTCCTGAACTGGACATCAGAAACTAATCTTGCTGATACTGGTGAATCAGTTGCCTTTATCCCAGTGTTGGAACAAGGAGAACATCTCACTCAGTTTGAATCGCTGTGCTGGATCATCCAGGATCCAGATGGGCCATTTGGTTCTTGCCATCTCCAAGTTGACCCCCTGTCCTTCTTCACAGACTGCATTTTTGACCTTTATGCCTCTTCTGGAGACCATGGCATCCTATGCCACTCCATTCAGATATATGTTGCAACTTGTCAGAGAGCCAATGTCACCATCTCACCTTGGAGGAGGGGAGACTTCTGTGGTAGGTGGAGAATATGCATTTCTACTTTGAACTTCGATATGTCTGTTCTGAACATCCTGTGACCTTCTCCACTTAAGGTCAGCAGTTCTTAAGTTAAAGCAACCTAAAGTTTTAAATGCTTCAAACCTGTGATTGATAAAAGGGTTGTTGAATTACCTACATAGTTACTGTGCTTTGCCATGTAATTAGGTTGTCAGGTTTGTTACCTGTCTTAAGCGGTAATTCCATGTAATTATAAGGGTTCGTGCATTGTTGTCCAATGGCACCACAAAATCCTAAGTCTTTCAAAAGTATTACATTGAGTTCACACAACATGGTAGATTAGACTAAAAATAGAATTAGGGTGCTTGGGATTCAGCACGCTGTAGAATCTCTTACCTTGGGTAAATCAGAACAGCATATTATGCCATAATATGATTGATTTACTTCAATATGACATGTTATGCCCCCCTATAATTGTGTTTATTAATCTAGGCTTAGAGTTCACTGCCCATAAAGGCCATTGCAGTACATTGTTCAGGCCAGTGGTGGGATTCAATTTTTTTAACTACCGGTTCTGTGGGCGTGGCTTGGTAGGCATGGCAGGGGAAGGATACTGTGAAAATCTCCAGTCAGGGGTGGTATTTGCCGGTTCTCCGAACTACTCAAAATTTCCACTACAGGTTCTCCAGAATTGGTCAGAACCTGCTGAATGCCACCTCTGATTCAGGCTGAGATGGAGGGGATTAAGGTTCAAATCATGATTAGCCAGCAGTCTTTGGGTGACTTTCAGCAAGGGACTGTTTCAGGAAGAGTCCCATACAGAGGTGGTGTTCAGCAGGTTCTGACCAGTTCTGGAGAACCGGTAGTGGAAATTTTGAGTAGTTCAGAGAACCGGCAAATCCCACTTCTGACAGGAGTTTTTACAGTATCCTTCCCCTGCCACGCCCACCAAGCCACGCCCACAGAACTGGTAGTAAAAAAAATGAATCCCACCTGTGGTGCCAAATGAAGATGTTTCGCTTCCCATCCAAGAAGCTTCTTCAGTTCTGACTGAACGGTGACTGACCATTCAATCAGAATGGAAAAAGCCTCCTAGATGAGAAGTGAAATGTCTTCAAGGAAAAACAAAAAAATTCCAGTTGCCTTTTGGAAAAGCACCTTTGGGACAACCAGGACCTGGATGACTGAGAACCTCAATAGACAATTACTGGAAGGTGACACCGAAGAGAAGCATCTGTTTTCCTTTGCTCAAACTCTCCTATTTCTTTGTGAAAGATAAGTTTGCAAAAACACTATCAATTTCTAAGCCTTGGGTAAACATGAGACGTTACAGGATGTTTATACTCTATTTTAAAAGGAGTTTTCTCAGGAAACACACATTCATGTGTCAGGCACATTAGGACACGTTGTGCAAAATGCTCCATCTGTTAGCAGACTCAAGCCTACAGTTCAAGGTGCTTTCGAAACAGGAATAAGGTTGCAATCAAACAGACACATTTTGCCCGCATACCATAAGCTCAAAGGTCTCCATTACTTTTTGCCAAATCGTGCTTACTCCTTCTGGAACCTTGAGGAATTCCTATTTTTTAATGATATCCTGTGTCTCATTTCTTGAACAGGCCTTGATTGCCAGAGCAACAGTCACTATGAACTCTGTGGGCCTCCCTGCCAGGATGTTTGCTCGCATGTTTGGGTCCAGCTTCACTGCCTTCCCACGTGCTCTGAGGGATGCTTCTGTGACCACGGGTATTTGTGCAGCGGGGAGAGTTGCATTCCAGAACAACAGTGTGGCTGCATATACAATGGGCTGAATTATAAGGTAAAATCCTAGTTCCTAACCAGGTGACACCATATAATATTGAGTGACTACCATGGTATAATGTCTCTCCTGAACTTCCCTTAGTTTTGGCCTAGAATGCTAATAACCTCCATCTAAACATCCAGTGATGGTCTTCAAATAACCTACCATGATACAGAGGTGGGATTCAGCAGGTTCTGACCAGTTCTGGGGAACCAGTAGCAGAAATTTTGAGTAGTTCGGAGAACTGGCAAATACCGCCTCTGACTGGCCCCGCCCCCATCTCTTCTCTGCCTCCCATTGAGTCCCAGCTGATCGGCTGGGTCTTCTTTGGTTGCCCTGCACAGGAGAACGGAGCTGGAAAGCAGGTTAGTGGGATGGGGAGGGAATGGGGATTTTGCAGTAACCTTCCCCCGCCATGCTCACCAAACCACATCACGCCCACCAAACCATGCCATACCACGCCCACCAAGCCATGCCCAAAGAACTGGTAGTAAAATTTTTTGAATCCCACCATTGCCACGATAGCTATCCTGCCCATTGATGTTCTATCAGTATCTAGAACCACAAGTATGAAAGGAGGTCCAAGAAATTCATGGTGCTGAAGGCAGGCACTGAGCTGGGCTTATTGACTTGGTTAGGACACTGTCCTGTCAAGTTCCTTGAATTCTGGTTCATCTCTTCTTTCTACTCTTTGCTGATGGAGGAGAGGAAAACTAAGTGGTCTGTCCACAAGGGGAACTAGAAGCTTTTTGTGATCCTGTTTTAAGGGTGATAATATCTGTTTTTAGCAGACGGATTTTGAACTCTAGAACAGGCAGTAAATGTTATAAATCAGGCCAGGGTATTATTCGGATTATAAATTACGAGCAAGCATGCACCTGCAAGTACAGAAGAATAACAGAGCAATTCAGATCAAAGCAATAATAATAAACAGAATTAAAAATAGTGCTTAAAGTATCATGAATACTTTATCAAGGATCAGGCTTGCTTCCAACCCTTCTGGGAAAAATCAGACTTCTGCTTCAAGGGCAAAAGACCATTCATTTTATTTGGTCAAATGTTTCCGGCAGAGGAAATAGCTAAACCAGATGCATCTTGCTGAGAGCAGAAATGTTCTTCTAAAGGCATTTTTTTTTAAAGAAAGGAGACTTTATCCTTGCCAAATGTAATACAGTAAGCAAGGGCAGAAACCCCAACAAATATTTAGAGTGAAGGAGATCAAAGCCACCTTTCACATTTTAACTCAACAAGGGCAAAGAGCAACCACTATTCATAGTTAAGGGTGAAATCATCTTTAGAATTTCTTTAGAGAACATTTTTGGAGGGGTAATAAAATGTGTAGTTTAGCTCAGGTCTGAGCATGTTGCATGATACCAAGGAGTTGTGTTGATAGGTGTTGCTTGGACGTCATAATCCATTAACAAATTAACAGAGTTGGAAGGGACCTTGTAGATTGTCTAGTCCAACCCAACCCAAGCAGGAGATCCTACATCATTTCTGATAGATGGCAGTCCAGTGTTTTCTTGAAAGCCTCCAGTGATGAAGCTCCCACAATTTCTGAAGGCAACTTCTGTTCCATGGGTTGATTGCTCTCATTGTCAGAAAATTTCTTTTTATTTCCAGGTTGAATCTCTCCTTGTTCAGTTTCCATCCTTTATTCCTTGTCTGGCCTTTGGGTGCTTTAGAAAATAGTTTGACCCCCTCTTCTCTGTGGCAGCCCCTCAAATATTGGAAGACTGCTATCATGTCTCCCCTGCTCCTTCTCTTCACTAGACTAGCCATGCCCAGTTCCTGCAACCATTCTTCATGTTTTAGCCTCCAGTCCCCTAATCATCCTGGTTGCTCTTCTCTGCACTTTTTCTAGAATCTCAACATCTTTTTTATAGTGTAGTGACCAAAACTGGATGCAGTTGTGTGGTCTTACTAAGGCTTTATAGAATGGTATTAGTACCTCCCTTGATCTTGATTGTTGGGGGGAAAGCAGGCAAATTGGTCAGTTTGAAAGAAAAACAAAGGAGAAACAACCATTTATCAGGGTCCCTAAAGAAAACACCATCTCTAGCACTCTGAACACTGTGGTGAGGTCTTACTAAGGCTTTGTAGAGTGGTACTAGTACCTCCCTTCATCTTGATTCTATGAACTTCACTGTTAACATTTATTTGCAGATTGGGGACCGGGTCTGGCTGCCTGGTTGCCATGAGCAGTGCAGTTGTTATGGCCCCTCTGACTTCCGCTGCGTTGCTGCCAGTTGTAATCCTGGACAGACATGTACCCTGAAGGATGGGAAACTAGGCTGTCACTCTCCGTGGGGAACCTGCACAGTGACCGGGGACCCTCATTACTTCACTTTTGATGGGTCGGTGGCACATTTCCAAGGCACCTGTGCCTACGAGATCTCAAAGCTCTGCAATGCCTCCTCTCCGTTCTTCTTCCGGATTATGGCCCAGAATCAACATCGGGGAAACTCTCTGGTGTCTTTTGTAACTCGAGTGGAAATTTGGTTGAAGAGCAGCATGCTCAGCTTCCTTATCGTCCTAAAGACTGGTCTGATTGTAGAGGTATGTGGAATATTGCCATATGTGATTGCTACATCACAGTTGCTTTTGTGCCTTCCTGTTCTGCCAAAGACTCATTCCAGGGATATTTTAGAACATTGAAGAGATGGAATTCTGCAAGTTATTAACATTTATCTTTTCATGAAGAAAGGTCTACTCATAAGGTAGGTGAGTAACTTATCCAGTTAGTAGTCAGAGTTTACACAAATTAATGTTAGAATCCTAGTCCTAGATCACCATATCTTCCGGTTCTTGCTAGAATAGGTCAATGGTCCATCTAGTCCAGCATTCTTCTCTGATGTCCACTAGATGTCTGTTGGAAGTCTGTTGCTGTCCTTCTTATGTAGTATGTAGCAAGTGACATTGATTCCCAAGTTGTCTTTGATTCTGGGCCTGGCCTGTGACCGTGAATGGCCTTTTTCTTCACTAATTCATTTAATTCCCCTTTAAAACAATCAGACTTGATCATCATCACTGCTTCCGGTTAGCCAAATACAGCTATCACTGCTTTGTGAATGAATCCTTCAATCTCCTAAAATTCCCACCATTCACCTGTCAGCGTTCCAGCAACCCTCCATTCCAACCAATAACTCCAAGACAGACTTCTCTCAAAGGTTCTTTTATTTGGATAGTAACTAGAACATCTGTGGAATCCTGAATCTGAAAGTTTCGGGCTCCCTTGCAAAATTTAAAACTACAAATCCATCCCCCCCTTAGCCATCATCACATCACATGGTCTAATCACCATCCGTCCTAAAGTAAGATTCCCATTTCATTATGCGCCACACTCAGTGACCTTGAACCAGCAAAAGAATTTTATTTTGTCTAACTAGATATACTCCAATGAATTCCTCCCTCCCACTTTCTCAGGCTCTATTGTGGCAGCGTGGGAGCATCGGATCTCAATATGGCTTCCAAAGCTGACATCACCTTTAAGGAATGACTCCCAAATTTCACCATTATAGGAAAGGGATAAAAAAAATTCAGTTGACCGCATTCGTGATTTAGATGTAACTTATTCAGCTCACTTCCCTAATTCTACTTTCCTTTTTTCAGGTCAACCAGGAAATGGTGGAACTGCCCCATACCTTGGAACTCACGGGCTTCATTTCCAAGATAAAAAATATGGTGATTGTAAAATTAGCAGCAAATGTAGAAATCCATTATAATGGCCAACATACTCTGTTCATCAGAGTGGGACCAGAATACCAGGGGAAGCTGTGCGGAATGTGTGGGAATTTTAATGGTGTTTCAGAGGATGATAAGGTGCTGCCCGATGGAAGCAGAGCCCAGAATGATTTGCATTTTGGCAATGCCTGGAAAACAGAGACCAGCCCGGCAGGGTAAGAAAAGCTTCAAAGATGATATGTTAAGCCTCACTGCTCCCTTGTGAGTCCAATGAAATCAAAGTCGTTGTGCATTCCAAAATAGATGCAAGTCTATATATATATAAAAGTGAAAAAGCATTCACGTCTCATCACAACATCTCCACAACTGTAAAGCCTACAAACCTGAAATTTGGCACGTATGTTCCTCTTGGCTTTTAGGTGCTCACTAAGAAAGGATTTTTCGAAATGACCATCAGAGCATTAGTATTTCGTATGTATTATTATTAATACACTCTGATGCTAAGGAGTTCTACTCCCACTCCCCACCTGAACAGAAATCTGTTCCAAATACAAAACACAAGCAGAGGAGTGAGGTTTCCATTTTAGTTTCACAGCACCAAACAACTTCAGTACAGAACAGTTGAGCTAAGCCAGACCCAGGCTCCTTGCTGTCTCCTTCTTGCTCACACAGCAAATACTGTTTCAGTTTCCATGTTTCAGTTTCCAAACAGCCCTCAACTCTCAGCCCTCTCACACACTGACAGGACATTAGCCAGATGAATACCGATGGATACTGATAGGCAGAGGTACAATTTTCCCCCTTGTTTTCCTCCCCTGATCACATGGTTTTGTAGTGAAGCATGGCTAGCATTGTGTAAAAGAAACTCTGCCAGAGCTTGATGGTATTACAGGTGTATTATTAGATTGTGATGTCGACTTTTTCATGTGTTTATAGAGCTAGGAATACATTTTATGCCACTGCTAATAACGCAACACCAAGGAAGGCATCTGAATCAACAACATGTTTGATAAAACATTGTTGCTTCGTTTCCTGCATTTGCTAGAGTTGTTATTTGTTGTATCCTCTTGTATTTGTTTAAATTTTGCTGTGGAGCTTTTAACAAAACCAAGGCCTCTTGCTTGGCTGTTGTTGCTACTTTATGAAGGTGTTTGGATGACAATTCCACCCTGGAGCCCTGTGATGAAAATCTGCAGGAATACGGAAAGCTCTGCGGGATTTTGGTCAGCCAAACGGGGCCTTTTGCCAAGTGCTCCTGGCACTTGGACCCTTCCCCGTTTTACTTGGCCTGCCTGTATGATTTATGCCACTACGGGAGCCATAACAACATGCTGTGCATCAGCCTTGCGGCTTATGAGGAAATGTGCTTCCTTGAAGGAATTCAGACGCCAAGCTGGAGGGCTTCCATCCAGTGCCGTGAGTGTCCATCTCTCTCTATTGTCCAACAAATTTGGGAAGATCTCTTTTGAATAATTTTATTCAAAGTTGTGAAAAGAGGTAAAAGGTCATCTAAACTATTTATTTATTTATTTAATTTAATCTATTTGTTTTATTTATTTTGCCGCCTATTTGCCCACAGCGACTCGAGATGGCTTACAGAATGTAAAACCATATTTAAAACAAAATAAAAAATAAAAACTAACAGAAAGAATCAAATAAATTAATAAAGTACAATAGAACAAAATCTGGGAAAAAAAAATCACCCCCCCCCAATTCCCACCCACTCCCCTGCCCCGACGACAGCAGATCGCATGAACCATTAGATGGGCTCCATTCTGCTGTGGGTTCCCCAGGCCCGCTGGCAGAACCAGGTCTCCTTCAGTGCCTTCCGGAAGAATGCCAGAGTGGGGGCCATTCTAATCTCTGGGGGAATGATATTCCAGAGAGAGGGAGCCACCACGGAGAAGGCCCTTTTTCTGGGTCCCACCAGGTGTATCTCCCTCAGGGGTGGGACCCGCAACATCCCCTGCCTCCCCTTTCTGATGGATCGGGTAGATGTGACCGGCAAAAGACGGTCCCTCAGATAATCTTATTAAAGAGTAAGGAAGAAAAAGAAATGGAAAAGAAAGCTTAAAAAAGGAAAAAGGAAAGAAAACTAAGCACAAGGAGAAATGTTTAGGGCAGGGAAATGATTCAGTGTCCATGCCATAAATCCACTTCCAGTTCCTCCCCCCCCCCGATATATTCAAAGCAATAGGCCATGTTGTTAAAGTATTAAGGTTTAGAAACTGGCCAGTATGTGAGTACCTGCAGGATTCTGTGAAGCTGATGTAAGTCTGGCTGAAGTAAAGAGAGTGGTTCCACAGAGTATGGGTATTTCCCTTTAAGGCTGGAGTGTAAAGTTCCCCTTAAGAGGTGTGTATGTAAAGGCAGCCATTCGAGGGTGTGGTTCTCTTTCCTTGTGACCAGTGTTCAGTGCAGAAGTTCTCTGTGTGTTATAGGAAGAAGAAAAGCTCGCTTGTAAATGTATTTTGCCTACCACATGTATATTATTTGTATAGACCTATTGTATATTAAACCACTGTTAGCGTCTAAGGCTCTGTGTGCTGTGTGTTGCTCCTGGGTAGTTATGCTGCCAAACGCTCTGACGCATGTCTTCACTGGCTGCTGCTTTAGACTGACAAATCTGATTCCTA